GTCTACATGACAAAATTAACAGCTACATCCTGCACAACTGAAGAAATTATCTTCTTCACACATAGTTGTTATTAAAGCAAGTGGAAAACTGAGTCATTCGTGCTTTCCATGCGTATTTTTTACAATACACATTTTCCCTCAGAGGTTACAAACATATCTTGGAGGGCTTCAATAGTTTGGTTTCAATTTTAGTTTGCAGGATGATAGCCTGGGGGAAGGGGAAAGAAGCTGAATCAAATAAATGACCAAGCAACTGTTCCTGACATTTCTCTAGCAGACATTTCCTAAATGGACCTCCTCTCGTTACTGTTCTCCATGTCAATAAGGTAGTATCCACGTAACAGATTCCAGGCCAAGGATAAGGTTGAAAAACACATCAGGAAAGCAAATATCCTACCTGTGCATTTGAATGTTCCATGACTCACCTGTTCCTTCTCCATTTCAGCTCTCCTGTTATTCCTCCCTTCCAAGCCTGCAGTAGCATGACTGCTAGGTAGAGTCATAACAGTTTTTGTAATGGAGAGCTTCTTAGGCACCTGAGGTGTCACTGAAAAACAATTTTAATGTAAACAATAACTTTAAAAACCATAGACAGGGATATTTGTCAAGTACTTTTCAGAATAACACTAATTTCATCATAGCAGTACTCTAAAAGCAGATTTGATACACTAAGTGGGACAATGCAAATACCAACATTTGAACCAGTCACCCTGCTTTCCTTTTGTCTGTGAAAATGACAATTCTACAGCACTATTCATCTCATCCTAAAAGAGCTGTCTAAAAAAGGTCAGCTTGATCATTCCCTTTTTAAAGACTGCCTGTTTACTACTGCAGCTCATATCCAGCCTTAGATTTATTGACAGGATCCTACCCCACAGGAAATCAGTATCTGATTTCCCAGAACCATACAGGCTTTCACTACTGCTAGCAGAGACAGCATGCAGGACTTTCTATTCCAGAAACTGAAGTAGGGAAGACATCACCTTGTTTTAGAACCTGAGTTTCCTAGAGCTGGGCATGTATTATTGAACAGCTCTGGTATTCTGCTTAGCAAAAGATAGAATTGCACTTTCTGACCAACAGTCATGGCATTGTAGGAACACTAACTAGCATCTTTTATTTGCTCTCTAAAGATTTCAATTATCAATCAAGAAATAAGCCTTGTTTAGTTCCCTAGACCTTCCAGGAAGCTCTTCTTGTACATGCAGCATGTAAACCCTTCCCCACTTTCCCCTAGCACTGCTGGAAGTAGGAGTCAATGAGTTCAAAAGTTTATTTAACCTTTCCTCAGCTCCCTGTGCTGTTGACGGAGAGAAACATCCTCCCCTAGAGTCAGTTCTTCTCCAGACCAAGTCAGAGTACTGGAAGTTTGACCTGTGCTCTGAATGGCCCTCAGATAAGTCTCTCTGTAAGGTGAGTTGAGCATGAGTGTGCCTTGGCCGCTGTCCCTTTGTCAATACCTGAAGCCTTAGGCATTGAAGGAGAGACAATAACATAGGGCAAGCTTCTGCTTCAGTGAGCGTACACTATACCGCATCCAAGCATGCAGACTGGTCCAAGTTCTCCAGTTATGTCTGGCTCTGTGGTAGCTGTGTGTAAGGCAAAGGAGAAGCAAAAGAAAGGAGAGATGCCTGAATGAACTCTCCTGCTCCCCTGTAAGTTACTGTTAACTATTCCAGATATGAAGTTGCAAAAACAATCCCTGCGCACTGTTACAGGCCAGTGCAACTTAAGCCTAGTCCAGTAACAGCCCCCATCATAGAGGAAAAAAGATTGGTCTGTAATTGGCATTGCTTGGCTGGGCATGAGAGTTCCTTTTCTCTCTTTCCTTTCCCTTCCCCTTGATGTCAGCTGTCAGTATAAGCTGTTGTCCTAGACTGGCTGTGCACTGGTAACAGGAACCTTGGGCACAGCTTTCCTCTCATGACAGCAGTGTACTCCTGCTGGGAGGACGCTGGCCCTGAGCTCGCTCTGCCTGCGAAGGTCTGCACAGACCACTGCTGCTGCACCCTGCCACCCCCAGAGCCCCTGACAGCTGGGACACGGGGGGACACCGACCCACACCTTACACTCATTCCCTGCTCCAGGTTATTTCAGAAGTCCCTGCATGAGGCCATCCTCTACAGGAAAACGTTCCTTTGCAGCCAGTCTGACCTGGAGCCTTCCCAGGTGCGCCGATGAGCTGGGTCCCCCCGGGGGCAGGTAGCCGGGTCATGCAGCGGGCCCTGCGCGGCTCCTCTGCGCCACCTCTCGCGTGCGGCTGCTGCCATCTTGTGACAACAGGGCTGCTCGCCACCGGAGCCCTGGCCGCCAGCTTCCTCGTAATGGAGCTCTTGAACCTGGAGTACGTGGTCCTTTCTGAGTCTGGGACCTGCACAGGTGAAAGGAGACAAAACACCACAATTAGTCATGTCCTAGTCTCATTCTGTCCCTTCACGCCGGTTCAAGTTTTCCTCTGCCATGCCACATGAGCTCAGCCCACCTCAGAGCAGCAGGCCATGGAAATGGATGTTGGGCTGAGGATGGCTCCAGCGGTCAGTCACCTGGGTGGAGAAAGAGTGAGGGGGGAGAAAAAACACAAAGAAACAAATGTTTCCAGTCAGAGAAGTACCCCTGAATCATTTGTCACACAGAAAGCCTGTGGCAGAGAAGAAAACTGTATTTGTGTTATTCATGCGCTAGGCTACAGCACTGGCCTTTGAAAGACCCAAGGCATCTTCAGACATTTGGCGCAGGATCCTGGGTCTGGTCTCTCCTGAGAGATGTGTATTTGGGCAAACCCACGTGTTGGCTGTCTGGAACCAGGCTGGTTTTCTGATTTTTGCCAAAGAAGAACTTCACTCATGTCTGATTTCTGAATCTTCTCACCACTGCTATGCCTTGTTCATGTTACTATTTTGTATACTGTCTTACACTTTTTAATACATTAAAGCATAGCAAATAAAGATTAAATGACAGATTTATATTTCTTACCTTCATTCATAGAGCAATTTGTGTCAGAAAAACATTAAAATATCGAAATTTGGAATTTAAGAGTCTAGATAAATATTGAATACAAGATTTTCTTTTTCAGACAGTTTTAGAGCAATATTTTAGGGAAAGCACTGAAAGTAACAACAGTAAGGAAGCACAGAAAGTATAATAGGCTTCTGGATCATTATTAGGTCCTCCAGTAATTATTTATAACATACTAAGTCTTGTAATTTTTTTTAATTTCTGAAATAATATTAGATGCAAATGAAAAGCTGTCAAAATGTAACTTAGACACCAAGATCTTGCACGAGTTTTCTGAAATCAAACAAATTCAAACTGGCTTTTAAAGTCAGCATTAGTCACCTGTGTTTGCTTGTTGATTACAGCTTTGCTCATTTCAGTACAGAAGTCTTGCGCTGTTTCTGCCCCACCACCGAAACACCACATTCACAGGCCTCACTGCCAGGCAGACATCAAGCTTCACATGTCCTCAGATCATAGGAATCACCCATACAAATACTGAAATTTCACAGTATTTCCCAAGCATCTCTCTGTTACGTTGAACTGTGTGAAACTCTCTATATAGTCTTGTTAAGCAAAATGAATGTGTGTTAAGCAAAACTAGCTATTAGTGAATTTTATAGAAATGATTGAACATACCACTATGATATTGTACAGATCAAGGATATTTGAGGTGATATCAAAGTCACTGAAAAGCAACAGACCCCCTAGGTTGCAGGTTTCACCTCCAGAAAGTCCTGTTCTCTTTTCATCCTTTAAAATGTAGCCTCTAAGTGCAGCAAAAAAATCAGGGTGATAAGAAAAACAACCAAGACAGAAATCACTCTTCAGTGATGGTCTGGACTGAGAGGAAAGAAAGTTAGCAGAATCTGACAAGCAAGGCAACTGACAAGCAAGGCAAATCTGACAACTGAAAGTCAAGTAGTAGCTTAGAAAAGCCCAAGAACAGAAATGTGAGGCAGACAAAACAAAATCCTGAAAGCTGAGAGGAGGAGAGGGAACAGCAAATGGACAGAAAGATGGAGAAACTGAGCAAGGGAAGACATGAAAAAAGACAAAGAAAATTTTGTTTTCTCTGTAACTAAGTTGTAACCACTACAGACTGATGTACCTTCAGAAACCAAGAGCAACGTCTTCAAAATGTAACACAATAAGATGGAGACAGGTAAGACAGCAGAGCTGTGTGGCTCTGAAGTTCAGAGCGTCTTTCACAGTCTCCTGAGCAAAACAGCCCTGGAGCTGCCTGGCTTAGACCTGAGATTCTCAGCTAACTCATTCTTCTCTCGTGGAGACCTTCCATCTCCTCATCTCAGCACAGCTAGTTGCCTGTTAGCAGTAGCAATAAAAACAGCAACCTATTTTCCACCATCAGCCGCCCCTCCCATTAAAAAAACCATTTTATTTTCTTCCCTTATGTCAGCCTATAAACAAGTTTTTCTCTGCCCCACGTGCTGTAAAAGAGTATTACAACGCTGCCCGTGATCCCACACCAGGTGATGAGAGGCAGGACAGCGGCTGTAAACTGGGTGGCTTCTGCCATATTGGTCTCCTTCTACCTAAACAGCTGGCCCCAAACTGCTTCTCCAGGTCTGCCTGACGGCATAGGTGCCTGATGCCGAACAACTCTGCCAGGGGGACCTGCGGGGTGCAGGGGATGTGCGAGAGCTGCACCCTCTACAGACCCACAGAAGAGGCCCCTCTCAAGACAGCCTGCAAACTCTGGCATATCCTGCACAGGTCAGTTAAACAGAGCAATCGGCATTCTTAGGTGACGGGTATGCACTTTCTATTAATTTCATTTTTTTTTTTTTCCCCAGCCAGAGAGCTTTCTCTACTTTACCCAAGAGCTCTGAAGCCCATCAGAAGCACTGTGAAATGTAGCTGCCGCTTCTGCAACAGGGACAAAACGCACAGCTTGTTGCTTCCAGTCCAAGCTGCGAGTTTCATATTTCAGCTCCTCCTTCACATTCCAGGCCTGCCCAGGCTCCGCTCTAAAGTTTTTCAAAATGGAGCCTCTCACAACTACTTATCCTCTGAAACACTCAGTGCCCAAAGCCAGGGTCTTTGTTGTCTTTCTGTCGATGGTTTTGTGTACTGCCGTTCTCTGCCTGCTGCAACTCAGATTTTTTAAACCGAAAATCAAAGATTTTTATTCTTTCGAAGTCAAGGATTCACGAGGAAGGATCGTTTCCTTGGAGAAGTACAGAGGGAAAGTAAGTTACAACTTCATTATACCCTTCCTTGAATCTTTACTGAGAAACAGATCTCCATTTGTAGGCTAACAAAAGGTTTGGTTATGGGAATTTTTGGTAGAGATTTGCACTAAATTCCTGTTCAAACAGTAAACTGGAGAGAAATTTATTTTATCTAGGCCTGCTCCAGGAATTAACTATTAGATCTAATAAATCAAGAAAAATGTTTTTTTCATGTTCTTTATTGTAAATCAATTTAGCCTAACAATACAATTTGTGAATTTTAATCTTAGTTAAGAATGGTAGCGTGTTCTGTTGAATTCTGGAAGTTGATCTAGTAAATGTGATTTTAGTGCCAGTCCTAAATAACTGCTTTTTTTACATGCTTATATTTAAACAAAGCTGTAAGTTTAAGTTTACCCATTTACTGGATTTTTAAAACAGGTTGTCCGAAAAGAATTATCGTAAGATGCTATCATCCCTATCTGTTTAAAGAAATTATGATCAGACAGATAAAATTTAGCCTTCAGGCAGGAGCAACTGTGGTAGTGGGAGATGCCATTTTAAGACTTAATTGCAGTCTCTACAGCTTTTCTCGATTTCTTTCTTACTTTTATAACTTATGTCTCTGAAGGCAACTTTGGTTGTAAACGTGGCCAGTTACTGCCAACACACAGACAAAAACTACATCGCGCTGCAAGAACTGCACAGAGAGTTTGGTCCCTCCCACTTCACTGTGCTGGCTTTTCCCTGCAACCAGTTCGGAGAATCAGAGCCTAGTTCCAGCCAGGAAATAGAATCTTTTGCCAAAGGAAACTATGGAGTAACCTTCCCTGTTTTCCACAAAATCAAGATCCTAGGATCAGAAGCAGAGCCGGCCTTTAAATTTCTAATAGGTAACTGTTTTCTTTTATATATCAAGCTGCCTGTAACCATGGTATCCTCCCTAAACTCCAGTCTGTCAGGAAACATCGTCGTCTTCATAGTCTATAGAGAGAAACAGGAATTCAGCATACAATTGACCTTGTTTCAGTGTGGATATCAAAAATATGGTCAGAAGAGTTGTATCCTGAAAGCATCTGTTTCTTCCCACCTATTATAAAAACAGCCTACTGTGACCAGCCCAGCTAGAACCATCCATTTTGTGGATGTATAAACTTGAGTGCAGAGACTCCCACCTACAAAATCCCATTTCAAATTATGTGACTTTGGTTGAACAACAACTTTGCTCGTGGACAAAAATGTCACTATGGGGGGATCTTAAAATTACTGGAAGATTTTACATAAACACATGCAAATAAGATTCCTGTTTTAGCAGTCTCATATGTCCACCTTTATGTAAACTGTATTGTACAGCAGGATTATATATGCTGTAGTTATATATAATCAGTGATTTGCATTTATTTGTTTTGTGAACTTCAGGGCCCAGCCTGCAAAACCCACTCACACAAATACTCCTGTTACAGTAAGCATTTACTGACTTACAGCCTCATACTCTCACAAGCAAAATTAAACTCTCTTCAGTTGACCAAAGACCCCACAGACCCAAAGCCAACTCAAAAACCCTCTCTGAATTTTCCTGAGCTTTGGCCAGGTCTTTGACCCATACTAAACACTGATATATGAAAGAAAGGATAATTAGAACATAACCCTTCTTCATCACATCATTTTAATTAGAAAATAAGGTAGAAGAAGGCCCAAACCTGTATTCCATCTCCCTGCCCCAAGACAGGATCACATTTACCCAAATCAGTACTACACAAGCTTCTCCAGACTATTACAGTATGAGAGATTCCAAAACCTCCCAGTCTATTCCAGTTCTTCACGGCTCCTCGTCAGAAAGCTATTTCAACGTTTAAATTAAATCTTCCTTACACCACTTAAGTCTGTTGCTTCTTGCCATATCCTCTGTGACACCTCTTATGGACTTGAAAATTACTTTCATTTAGGAGTCATTTTAAGTGGTCACCATTGTCACCATAACTGTTTCTTCCTACCTCCCCATAGGCATGTCACCAAAGACATCAGGTAAAGCTTCATTGCTCTGAGTTGCCTGATGTCCAGTGGAATTACTGAACGCACTCTGGAGGTGCCTTTTAGTTCGTTATAGAGGAGACTAGAGCGCGCAGGTACCAGCTGGGTGGGATGAATCCAGATTCCAACTACCAGTGCAATGAGTGTCAGACTTGAATACCTACACAGAAACAGAACAGCCATATTCACTCAGGTGGTTCTTACTTGACATGCTCTTCACCCACAAGAAGGAGAAAGATCCTGTGGTACTTCAGTATTTTGAAATAAGGTCTTTTTTTCCTGCATTACTCTGCTTCATATGAAATTACTATGCACCTTCAATTAAAGAAGTACCAGTTTTCTTCATGTTGCTGTCTTGACAATCAGAAGGTTGAACATCATGCTATGGTCCCTTGTGACTGTGGCTGCTAGTTACAATTTGTCCAGCACTGTCAGATAGTCTAGTGCAAAAAGAATGCACTGGCAGCATAAACTTGGTGCTAAGGCCTTTCTTTATACTACTGCTTCTTGTTGCTTTCATAACAGTAAGGCATTTTGTTGGGACAGTGCAAGGTTTGCGGCCTTACCTTTCCTCAAAGAATGTCCAGCTTCCTATGTGTTTGAGTTATTCGTATGCATTAATGAACACTGGAAGAATATTCAGAGATGGGGTTATGTTACTTCAGGACTGATCCTAGATACAACAACTCAGCAAAGATATAATTACTAGCTGGGCCAGAGCCTTGGTGGCATGAGCTTTACCATACCGATTTGCTTGCTATATTGTCCCCTTACAGTCATGACATTACAAATGTAGTCCAATGGCAAAATTCAACCCATTGCTTCCAAGAATCAGTGTAGTGTTCAGCACCATTCCCCACTGGACACCTGTTCCCCAGTCAAAATCTCCTGGAGTTTTTTTCTAGTTCTTCTCTCAAAAAGTGATTTCCCTCTAAACCTATGAGACTCTCCAAGGACAAAGCCAGTAGTCAAGAAACTGCTTCTGTCTCCTCTAGGAGCCATATAGTTTCCTGATAGCCCCCTTATCTCAGAAAGTATCTTGCCAGGTATTCATGATAGCAAAGATACAAGTAAAGGTTTGCCTCATGGAATGAAAAGAGCCAAACTAAGCCATCAACAGTATGACTTCCTGCTCCCATTTCAATTCCTCTAAACCAACATAAAACTGGGTATTCCCCAAATAAGTATGCAGCCCTCATACCCTCCTCCCTAAGAAGCAGAGTGTAGTAAAAGGAGGAACTCAGTTTCACAAGAAGGGGAGAGCATCATTCACTTCCCACTTTTCAGATCATTAATGCCAACCAGTAAATTCATGTCCAGACTTACAGCAAAGAACAAACTGGGATTACTTCAACACAAATAGTTGAAGAAACACTTCAGGGTAATGAAACAATGACAAGTGTAAGTCACTAAAATGAACTGATGCCGTTCTTACAGATTCTTCAAAGAAAGAGCCTCGATGGAATTTCTGGAAGTACCTTGTCAGCCCTGAGGGTAAAGTTGTGAAATTCTGGAGACCTGAAGAGCCCATAGGAAATATCAAGCCAGAAGTAGCCTCATTAATCAGGGAGATTATAATGAAGAAAAGAGAAGACCTCTGAAAAAGCCATTCATGCTGTGAATCCATTCAACAGCATGGATACACAGCCTACTACATTCCTGGGAAATGCTGCTAGAAGCTAACCATCAGGTGATTTTACTTCCTTTGGTGTTAGTATTTTCAGCTGCACTATGCCCATTAATGTTGGATTACCTCCTGCAACAGCCCTGAGAACCACTGAGGTTACTGAGAATGGCAAGGCACTCAGTACCCTGCAGGGATGGACCTTCAATTTGCATAAAGTTTCTGAATGTTTCTTTAAATTGCTGACAATAGCTAATTACAATTGTCAGCAGCAGGGACATAGCTACAAAGAAAAGGATTTGGTGATACAATACTCAGTATTTGCGCAGAAGTGTTTTATTTCTCATCTACCATTAACAAATAGATTTTGATATTCCATTAACGTGTAATTGCCCTGACTGAAAGGCATGGGGCCCAGAGGCATCATACCAGGGTTTTTAGAGACAAATGCAGCTTTGCAATCTTCTCGAGGAAGATTACTGATTTGTAAAGCTGCCAACTTGGTTGTAAAAAAACTGTACATAGAAAATAAAATTATTAAAAGAAAAACTGCAAAAAATGTTTCCTTGCCTGCTTTGTATTTCAATTAATTTTAAATTTCACCTTTACAAAAACACCTTTAACCTCTTTAGCCTTCTCCATACATTTATACCACAGTACAGTGCCTCGGCTGTGAGCTCATCTCCTGCTGGATTCCCAGTCTCCTGACCTGGATGAAGGCTGGGCCTGTGTGAAGTACATGGTTGCCTACAGCAGGATTCAGAGGGCAACACAAATCAGCAGCCTGGCACTCTAACAGACATAGTGAGACAGTCCAAGACAGTGCTCCCCAGCCATCTACCTCACATCTCTGGAATAAAACAACAGTCTTCAAGTAGAGGTAGAAGAAGGGGATGAAGGTTCATGCCTCAAGCCCCACTCTTCTCACCTGGCAATCTCCCAAGTCCTGCATGCAACTGCTCACCCATTTCCAGTTCTGTTCCACTGTCCTATTTCAAACTGCCAAGCATTTTGATTTATCTGTTTGATGAGGGGAGACAGCAAATTGGAATAAGAAACCTCATTCCAGCTGTCCAAGTCTTAAAGGAGGGCTGAGAGAATAGAAACGACAGAAACCAGTGTCTCAGAAGAGTTTTCTATATGAAAATGGACTGGTAGCAGTTCTCTTGTAAGACTAACAGTGAACAAAAACACCTGAAGTGCTTCAAAACATTTTCCAATAAAGATAGCCACATAACTGTATTAAGAAGGTGAGAAATGCAAAAGCAATGTAAAAAAGAGTATTTTTTCATTCACCTGTGGAATTCATTGAGAATTTCACAGAAAACCCCTGAGGGATAAGGACATAAAAAGATTTTTTAAAAGACTGAGTAATGATACTGATGTGGAGGATAGACAAAGTCACCCTCAGTAATGACAACCCTTATTTTGGAAGGGAAGTCAAATCTTACACATGACAATTTTAGCCACTCTAACTTTCAGAGATCAGTTAAGGCCTACGTAAGGGTCTAGGTAGTCCAAACGTACCTACTTGTGGTGTTTTAGACCAGCCGCTGAGCTATTTGACATTAGTCCACAAGATTCCACATCCAATCCACCAAGACAGTTCCTGTTCTCATGCTGAGGTCCTGTGTTTTAATCATAGAATGTTTTGGGTGGGAAGGGACCTTTAGAGGCCATCTAGTCCAACCCCCCTGCAATGAGCAGGGACACCTTCAACCAGATCAGGTTGCTCAGAGTCCCATTCAGCCTGACCTTGAATATTTCCAAGGATGGGGCATCTGCCACCTCTCTGGGCAGCCTGTTCCAGTTTTACTCCAGTCTCCTTGTACACGTACAGTTCCAGCCTTGGGAACACTTAGCAGAATGTGTCAGGTGATTTTTGGCACATGTCCCTGCTGCTTTGATGTAGTAGGAAAGAAACTGATACATGGATCCTCTCTGCTCACTGGGAACAGTCTAGCATCCATGGAATTAAGTGGCACGACACAATGTTTTTCCCATAAATGGTAGGTAATACCTTTACTTGAAAATGTACATGACTGAAACATGCATGCCCATTCAGGTGCACGGCTATAGCTCTCTGCTTTTCATACCATTGAATAAAAAAGGGTAGGTATAAAGAAATGTTGGGTGCTGTTAGTGCAACACCTGAAAAAAATCTGTTTTAGACCTGGTATTGCCTGAGTTACTCAGCATATGGGGAACTACAAGTTCTTTAAATACCCTATGAAAGATCAACAGTGCAGTATCATTTTCTAGTTTGGAAGGGATCACAAGGGAAGGGAGTGTGCACACCTTGCATGTGATTCACTCATATTATGTTTTTCACAGGATACACTGTCATCTTAAATAACTCAAAGCCATCATTAAGATCAAATATCTTTCCTTGTATTCAGAAATAGCATGGGATATTAGCAAATGAGTGGACAGAATTATTTAACTCATTGATTCCTCAATTACTTTTACTTCAGATTCCTAAAAAAAGAAGGTTTTGCCTGAGAAAACAGTCATTGAATTTCTGATTTCACCATTTGGTCACAATCCACTACACCATCTTCTGTAGAAATTGGAATATAGGTACCATTCTGTCCTGAATCTACACAGAGTTTATTTTTTCAAAGTTTACTGTTAATTAACATTCATCCAGAAACTCAGTATGTTTGTATTACTTACTTCATGAGACATAACAGCTCTTCCAAAGTAATATTTAGGGCAGATCATTGATAAACTAATCACTTCTTTCTTAAAACCAAGTTACCAGTTATCCAGCATGCAAATAAAGCATCTTCAACTGCCAAATCTACACAGACTTGGAAAGGCAAAAAAATAAAATGAAAGTTAACAACACAAAAAAATACTAAACTAAAAATGCTATAAACAGATTAAAATCTATTTATTGGATTCTTAAATAATCCCACCAACTTAAGATGAAACTGCCCTCTTCAGAAGGTTAACAGAGTTCAGCCCATGAGCATTAAAGTTTCTTCAACTCCATTTAAGCGTAACCTACTGCACCCTTCATCCTAACATTTCCTTCATTCCTATCTCATGCTTCCCTCACTCCTTACATCTGACATAGCCTCATTATCTCCAACAGATACTATTTAATAGGCAGCTCCTCTTTCCAGAAAATTGCCTGGGAGTGCAAATACTCTAAATCCATTTCAGTCACCAGTTGGACATGTCCCTGTTCAAGAAAATATTTGTTTGCTGAGCGCACACATCAATGCTCCAGTAAATATTCAGTGGTGTAACAGAAATATATTCACATAGGGCCCAAACCTGAAACTCTTACTTAATAGTTACACAATTTAGTAAATTCTTCAGAAACCGGTTGGATTATCTGTCTAAGTGTGTCAAACACAGTTACACTTATTTTTATATCCTACATTGACTCAGTTTGCATAACCTAGCACAGCTCCTTTCAGTCAAGGAAACTAGGCAGGCACTGGGCTCTACACCAGCTAAGGATTCCATGAGATACTTCTAACAACAGTATTTCTGTTCTTGTCTCAACAGTGATGTGCTAATGTGGCAGTGTAGTCAGTTGCTGGTGTATGAAGAACAGCTAACTAACAATACACTGCCTAATCACCACACACAACACTAACATCACGCTAATTCTGCAGACCTTCACAAACACCGATGCAATTTCTCATCCTAGGAGACCTTCACTTTGCAAGGCACATATACCAGTACCCAGATAAAGCAAGTAATAACAAAGAGTTTCTTTTGCATTCTTTAAGTGCCTGAAGTGCCAGGATGAGGACAGAGGTAATACTCTGTTGCCTGTGGCAGTATGCTTGACAGAAGCTTCCAGTGTAACATGAATCAAAAGGATCAATGTGCTGCCAGCCTTTATTCTTCCAAAGTATAATATTATATCCTATTCAAATTGTGTCTCCTGGCTGGTGAGACTATGTGCAGTTGTTTTAATGTATTGCTGTTCACAAATTAAGTTACTCTGAGAAGCAAGGGGAGAAGAAAACCTCAGAAATTGAGTTATCTTTTTTTACAGAATGAAAAGGTAATTATTTTTCAGCTATAGCATTCAGGCAGTTGGTGAAAGTGATTTTAAGCCTTTCCAGCATCTAATTACTCAGTTAAGAAAAAAAAAAAAAACAAAAAAAAACACACACCAACTTGCATTTCCCAAATATCATAAAAAAATTAAAAATCAAACTTGCTTCTTTTGCCTTAAGAAAACTTTCATAGTTTAAAATTGTTTGAAATGTTTGAATTATTTACCTGTTTTAAGTGTTTATAAACCTCCTGTTACCTTGGTATCTAAAAGTAAATGAAAATCAGAGTCTGAATCAACAAAAAATTTCATAATTCTTTGGATAAGAGTAGACGATGGAAATACAAGCTACTTCTCTAATACCAAAAACTAGCCTGACAGTCAAAAAAAGCAATAATCAGGTGGATCCAAGAGATTCCTTATACAAAAGTAGTAGTTCTTATTTTGATGATCAAGGTATGTGGAAAAGAATAGCAACTGCATGTTAGCTGATGCCAGATTTTCAACCAGCTAACATACACTGCCATTCCATCACACACAGATGCACCACCTGCATTCCTGGAAATTAGAACCCTTGCACTTTCCAAAGGAACCGCCTTTGAACAGCGATGAGCTGGCCCTGCGGCAGGTGACAGTGCAGTAGTGACTGCTACATTCAGACACAGCAGCCAGCTCGCCATACACTGCCTACCAGACGCAGAGTCCATGCACGGCGAGATGTCTCATGAAAAAACATGCCTGGAAACATATTTTCTGCTTAAATTCAGCATTGCTCACCTATTTTGAGGTTCATGTTTCATATATGCATATATACAAGTGCAGGAAATACTGTCATGAAATAAATGGCACAGATAAGTTTCTGATTCAGCAAGACCTGAATTAAAGTAATAGTATAAAACCTATGTGGAGTATGACTAGAATCAGATCCCAGACTGTCCAAAAGGAACTGGATA